CTGGACTGAACCCGAAAGCTCTTCCCACAGTCCGTGCAGCCGTACGGCTTCTCCCCCATGTCCATTCGCTGATGCGCATTGAGGCAGCCCCTGTGACTGAAGCTCTTCCTGCACTCGTAGCATTTGTAGGGCCTCTCCCCCGTGTGAACCCTTTGGTGCTGAATGAGACTCGGTTTGTCGGAAAAAGTCTTGTTGCAATCGGCGCACTGATGCGGCTTCTCTCCTTTGTGGATCTTCTGATGCCTCACAAAGTTGGTGCTCTTGTTGAAACTTTTCCCGCACTCCAAGCACTGGTACGGCTTCTCCCCATGTGGATAATTTGATGGCAGGCAAGGTGGGCGCTCTGAACGAAGCTCTTCCCACACTCTAAACATGTATACGGCTTTTCTCCAGTGTGGATGATCTCGTGGGACGTCAGATGGGCGCTGCGACTGAAGGACTTCCCGCATTCCAAGCATTTATACAACTTCTCCACTTTAGGGATTCTTGGCGGTGTCAGCAGGTTGGATGGACCATGAAAGCTTTTGCTGAAATCGGAGGGTTGATGTTGTCCATCAGCATGGACAGCCTGATACGATGGAGGAATTAAAGAAACTAGAAACTTCTCTCGGTTTTCCAGAAATGTATATGAACTCTCTCCTTCAGAAAGCATTTCCCTGTCTCTGGAGTTCTTCCCCAAAATACCTTTCTGGGATTCAATCTCTGCAGATATTTCCCAGTGATCACTGAGACATCCATTTCTTTCCTCTCCTTCCTTTTTTTTTTTTTTTTGCTGCAGTGAGATTTGATGGAACTCTCCAATGGAACAAGGAAGGGGTTTATCGATCCATTCTTCTTGTTGGCTTCCTTCTTGGTGTGAGGGTTGAATTCGGTTCCAGACTTTCTCTTCAAAGAGTTCCTGCTCAATTTCTTCAGAGAAATTCCCACATAGTTTCCCCTCTGATTCACTTTTCCATTCAGATCCTGTTGGAATAAAGATTGGGAGATGGTTAGAGCTCACACCAAACTATTTAGAAGTAGACTCTCTGGGAATATTTGGGGTTCCCCATTAAATAACAATAATGAGGAAAAAAAGTTCTGGATAATGGATGTCCATGGAGGTTTTCAGTCATCCAGGTCATGGTTGCCCCAAAGGTGCTTTTTCAAGAGGCAACTGGACTTTGTTGTGAACTATATAAATAACCAAGTCCATAATGCGCTTTAACTCCCCTTTAACATAGGTATAAACAAATTAAAAATAAACATAATAATATAAACAAGTCGATATCCTAATTATTAAACAATACAATATCCAAATTATTAAACTATACTAATACTAAAGATAATAATAAAACTAATAAAAATTCTACTATAATAAACTATTAATAGTAATAATACTCTAAAATTTACTCATAAACTAAAATATGCTATGTTTTTTGCTATTTCAGTTAGTTAGTAGTGGAAATATAAATTTCCAAGCCGGGAGTATTCTGGCCCATATAGCTCTATGTAACCTCGTATAGCTCTATGTAACCCTGACTAGAGAGCATGTATCAGTATGTCAGTGGAAGGAGTTTCTAAAGGGCATTGGGAGACTTCCTGGACACAAGTCAGATTGGAATGTCTTTGTCTGAAAGAAGCATGGGCTATCAGATGTCACCCAATGAGCCTGCGCAGTTATAAAGATGGTATGGAAGAGAGCATCATCCTTTTACCTGTAGGAATCAACAAAAGATGTAATTTCCAGAAGTAACAACACAGCATGAATGCAAGTAATCTTTGTAATCTTTCTGATCGAAATATATTTCTTTTTGTTATGAAACCATTTCTACTGAGTTATCTATCTGACTTGATTTAAAGAAGGCATTTTTAACTCACAGTCAGAATAGAGTATGTAGTGGGAGGGGGGTGAGCTGAAGCTGCAGCAGCGCCAGAGAGGCCCGGGGGAGAATCAGCTGGAGCTGCAGTGTTGCTGGGGCTCTGCTGAAGCCCTGGGATCGGCCCGTGTGGCTCCAGCTGATTGGGGCTTCCAACTGCCTCGGGGTGGCTGGCAGCTGCACGCAGTCTTCAGGGGAAGAGTCAGCTGGAGCTGTGAGGCTGCCGTGGCTTGGCAGGGACCCCAGAATCAGCACATGCAGCTCCAGTCAATGAGTGCTGTGTGAAAAAGCCAGCCAGGCAGTGAGTGAACGCATGGGGGAGAGGAGAATATAAAAAGGAGGGGTTTGGGTAGAAAGGAGGAGTGAGAGAGCAGAGAAGGCAATAGGGAGGAGAGATGTCGGTGGGACAAGCCTGAAGGAGAGAAGGGGATGGCATAAGTGAGGCTTCTGTGGAGGAAGCCTGAGGGAGAGAAGGAGTCAGCAACTGGCCCTTTGAGGGCAACCATAATGCTGATGAGGCCCTCAATGAAATTGAGTTTGACACCCTTGCTCTACATGAAACCTTTGGGAGTGGCCCTTTCCCCCCATCATGGGGCAAAGTCTCCTCCTCCTGTTGCCATCCTGTTGTCCCTCTTAAAAACAACTTTAGGGAATTCCAGAAGAGAAAGGCTGCTTGGCTTAAAGGAAACTTTTCTGCAAAGTCAAGTGCAGGTAGTCCTCAAGCTACAACAGTTCATTCAGTGACTGTTTGAAGTTACAACGTCATCCCCGCGGTCATGTGATCAAAATTTGGATGATGATGATGATAATGATAATGTTGGAAGGGACCTTGGAGGTCTTCTAGTCCAACCCTCTGCTCAGGCAGCAAACCTATACATGGGGTCCCCAACCCCCGGTCTGTGGACCAGTACCAGGCTGCAGCATGCCAGCAAATGGGCCGCACAAACAAGCAACGGCCCATCCATGGGATGCAGGCAGCACACAAAACCACACACCCTCCAGTCTGTGGAAAAACCTCTCTCCACGGAACCAGACCCTGGTGCCCAAAAGATTGGGGACCTTTGCCTTATACCATTTCAGATAAATGGCTGTCCAGTCTCTTCTTAAAAACTTCCAGTGTTGGAGCATTCACAGCTTCTGGAGGCAGGTTGTTCCACTGATTAATTGTTCTAACTGTCAGGAAGTTTCTCCTTAATTCTAGTTCCAGGTTGCTTCTCTCTATGATTAGTTTTGTTGGAATATTCATGAACAGGAAGAGTCATGTGGTAACTCAGTCAGCCAATGGGAAGAAAGTGCTACTGAGTCTGTGCAAAAGGAGTATTGAGTTAGGAGCTGGATTTCCAGTCTCATGTCTGTATCTGGTCTGTCTCTGTAAGAACTCTTCAATTAAGATATGTTGCTGTAAAGAAGAATGGTATTGTAAATATTTGTGTATAAATATAAAGTTATTTGACTCAGCTAAATGCAGTCAACTGTAAGAGCTTCTGATTTATTTTTCACCAATTAGAGAAATTAAAATTCTCTAACAGGTTATGGGCCCAGAGCTTACTAAGGACTGCATTTAAAGCTGGAAGAAATTGCCTGTGTTTAGAAAGTATAAGAACAAGGCAGAATTAGCAGAATGGCTGCAATGGAATTTAAGGAAAGCTGTGTGCCTCGTTTGGGGCAGAAGAATTACATTGTGTGGGCTGCAAAAATCGAATGTTTGCTGAAAGCTAAAGAGCTGTGGTATATTATTGAAAATCCACCACAAGTGTTTGCAGCAGCAGATCAGAAAAGCCATGATCAAACTATGGCTTATCTTATCTTGAATTTAGATGATGACCAATTTCTAAATGTTGCAAATTTAAAGACTGCAAAGGAGATTTGGTTGAAGTTGAGAGCTGTGCACCTGAATGTTTCTGCATGCAATATAGTGCAATTGTCAAGAAAACTTTACAGAGCCTGTTTGTAATTCCAAAATGTTCCTTTTGCAAAGCAGTCCTTTTTCTTTGCACAAATGTCTTGTTCTGCAAATTGTTCCTTTGCAAACAGTTCCTTTGCAAATGTATGCTCGCCCCACAAATGTAGCAAGAAGCTCTCTGCTTGCAAAATCTCTCCTTTGTTGCAATTTGGTCCGGGTCTGATCTGCTTGTTTCTTCTCCTCTGGAGACTTGCAGTCTGGACCCCCTCCTCAGGAATTTCTCCTCCTGGTGGCTGCTTCTAAAATGGCGTTTTTCTTCTTCATTAAGCAAACATGCCTTTAAAGCCTCAAACTTTAAGTCTTGTTCTTCTTTGCATTCAGATATTGCAGAAACTGTGTCCCAGGTTTTATCTAAACTGTTCAACACCAATAAAACCTTCTGGGACTCAGGGAATTTAATCCCACATTGTTCTAAGTCCAAAAATAAACTTTGCATTTTATTTAAATGCTGTTCCATAGATTCACCTGGTTGCAAACAGGCCCTGTAAAGTTTTCTTGACAATTGCACTATATTGCATGCAGAAACATTTAGGTGCACAGCTCTCAATTTCAACCAAATCTCCTTTGCAGTCTTTAAATTTGCAACATTTAGAAATTGATCATCATCTAAATTCAAGATAAGATAAGCAATTGCTCTATCATGATTTTTCTGATCAATAGCTGCAAACACTTTTGGTGGATTTTCTACAATATACCACAGCTCTTTTGCTTTCAGCAAACATTCCATTTTAGCAGCCCACAAAATGTAATTCTTCTGGCCCAAACGAGGCACACAGCTTTCCTTAAATTCCATTGCAGCCATTCTGCTTATTCTGCCTTATTCTTATACTTTCTAAACACAGGCAATTTCTTCCAGCTTTAAATTACAATGCAGTCCTTAGTAAGCTCTGGGCCCATAACCTGTTAGAGAATTTTAATTTCTCTATTGGTGAAAAATAAATCAGAAGCTCTCACAGTTGACTGCATTTAGCTCAGTCAAATAACTTTATATTTATATAAAAATATTTACAATACCATTCTTCTTTACAGCAACATAGCTTAACGAATACTTCTTGCAGAGACAGATCAGAGACAAACCTTGAGACTGGAAATCCAGCTCCTAACTCAATACTCTTTTGCACAGACTCAGTAGCACTTTCTTCACATTGGCTGACTGAGTTACCGCATGACTCTTCCTGTTCATGAATATTCCAACAAAAAGTGAAACAGAGGGGAAACTATGTGGGAATTTCTCTGAAGAAACTGAGCAGGAACCCTTTGAAGAGAAAGTCTGGAACCGAATTCAACCCTCACACCAAGAAGGAAGCCAACAAGAAGAATGGATCGATAAACCCCTTCCTTGTTCCATCGGAGAGTTCCATCAAATCTTACTGCAGCAAAAAAACCAGGAAGGAGAGGAAAGAAATGGATGTCTCAGTGATCCCTGGGAAATATCTGCCGAGATTGAATCCCAGAAAAGTATTTTGGGGAAGAACACCAGAGACAGGGAAATGCTTTCTGAAGGAGAGAGTTCATATACATTTCTGGAAAACCGAGAGAAGTTTCTAGTTCCTTTATTCCTCCATCGTATCAGGCTGTCCATGCTGATGGACAACATCAACCCTCCGATTTCAGCAAAAACTTTCATGGTCCATCCAACCTGCTGACACCACCGAGAATCCCTAAAGTGGAGAAGTTGTATAAATGCTTGGAATGCGGGAAGTCCTTCAGTCGCAGCGCCCACCTGACGTCCCACCAGATCATCCACACTGGAGAAAAGCCGTATACATGTTTAGAGTGTGGGAAGAGCTTTGTTCGCCTCTCATCAAATTATCCACACAGGGGAGAAGCTGTACCAGTGCTCGGAGTGCGGGAAAAGTTTCAACAAGAGCACCAACTTCGTGAGGCATCAGAAGATCCACAAAGGAGAGAAGCTGCATCAGTGCGCCAATTGCAACAAGTCTTTTACCAACAAACCGAGTCTCATTCAGCACCAAAGGGTTCACATGGGGGAGAGCCCTACAAATGTTATGAGTGTGGGAAGAGCTTCAGTCATAGGGGCAGCCTCAATGCGCATCAGCGGATGCACACGGGGGAGAAGCCGTACGGCTGCACAGACTGTGGGGAGAGCTTTCGGGATCAGTCCAGCCTTATTAGACATAAGAGAACCCACACCGGGGAGAAGACCTACACCTGCTCAGAGTGTGGGAAAAGCTTCAGCCAGAGCACAAACCTGACTTTGCATCAAAGGGTGCACACTGACGGGAAGCTTCAAGAAGAATCTCCCCAAATGCTTAACACGGTGATGGCCATGTTAGTCTTTCCACCAAATCCTGCAAATGGTTTAGTGGCGCTTGAAAGCTAACATTTAGTGGTACTTGGTTCAATAGTACTAACTGTGGGAGGAATTGTCCTAGTGGACAATCATTTAAATATAAGGGTTTACAATGCCTTGGTAAGACCACACTTGGAATACTGCGTCCAGATTTGGTTGCTACAGTACAAAAAAGATGTTGAGACTCTAGAAAGAGTGCAGAGAAGAGCAACAAAGATGATTAGGGGACTGGAGGTTAAAACATATGAAGAACAGTTGCAGGAATTAGGTATGTCTAGTTTAATGAAAATAAGGACTAGGGGTGACATGATAGCAGTGTGTCAACAGCCGGCTTGAGAATCCAAATAAAGCTCCAGGTTCATTCCGTTTCTAAAAATCTTATTGTTTATTAAGTTGATTGATTTTGCTGAAACAAAACTAACTCTGAGGCTCTAACATCAATTCATAGACTTAAACAATAATTTTCCCAGCCAAACCCCCAATGTCTTACGTAGTCCATATAAACAAGTTCTGTTTGTTATGGGAACTGTCTGCTTCACATCCACACCTGTTCTGGTGTCCTTGAAAAGGTTTCAGGTTCTCAAAGTCTTCAGCGGAATTGTACAAATTTCATTTTTCCATCTAATCCACTGGAAAGTAAGACTACCCCCCTCTTACTCTAAAGGCAAGTTGAAATGCAGAGAAACATAGCTGTCAAAGTTTAATCCTTGAGACAGTGTTCCATTATTTGAGGGGCTGCCACAAAGAAGAGCGGGTAAACCTATTTTCCAAAGCACCAGAAGGCAGGACAAGAAGCAAAGGATAGAAACTAACAAGCAGAGAAGCAACCTAGAACTAAGGAGAAATTAATCAATGGAATAGCTTGCTTCCAGAAGTTTAGTGGGGGTGCTCCATCACTGGAGGTTTTCAAGAAGAGATTGGACAACCATTTGTCGGGAATGGTATAGGGCCCCCTGTTTCTATAGAGGGTTGCACTAGAAGACCTCCAAGGTCTCTTCCAACTCTGTTATTCTATAATGTAAATCCATGTGGCCAGCTTGCACTCCTGCAGGCAATGCTTTCACTGACTTTGCTGGGGCCTTGTCACCACTGCTGTGACTGCTCTTCTCTGCCTGCTGATTTGAAGAATGGCGAGGTTGGACTCTCCAGTTCTTTCCAACAGGCCATCTTGCAACAGGTATGGCAACCAGAGAAGACACAAGGGAATGCCAGAGTAGCTGCCAAAGGGGAGGGGGCAAGGAAACCATGATCCTCCCCAGGGCACAGTTCAGCCCCCTCCCCGAGGGCCACCATCAGCATTCCCAGCTCTTTTTTTTCTTCCCTTCATTCTTCCCCAATCACCTTTCCACTTTATGAATTTCTATTTCATATATAGGTATTCCCCGACTTACAGCAGTTTGCTTAGTGACCGTTCAAAGTTGCAACAGCACTGAAAAAAATAACTTATGTCCGTTTTACACCCCCTGTCATGGTTCCAACAGATGAAACTCTTCAAAAGAACTTCAAGGCATTGTTTACCTTAAAGGATCTTTTATTCGAGTAGTTTAATATCGGCACTTGCGTAATCGAAGCCAAAAACTGAATCCCCCCCCCCCAGGCACATAGTATCAAAGCACAATTCCCTCCCTCCTCTAGTTAACAGTCATAAATCACATTCCTACCTAGCAAAGACTCCAGGCACCTCGAGACAGTCTTGCCACCCTCAACGGCTTCAAACACAGGAGCGGTGGAGCTACCGAGAAGTTAGGATACATACAAGCCAATTTTTTAGGATCCAAATGCCACCTATAAAACATTTTATAAAAAATTTTCCCTCAGATTTTGGGCCTGTGTAAATTTAACATTTCTAATCGAAATATTCTCCCATTGATCCAATAAGATTGGTTCCTAACAGAGTTAGTAAAAGATTGTATGATTAAATGGGCTCACTTCTCATCTCTAGCTCCTCAAGTCTTTCCACCAACTTCTCCACTGACTGACTGCTGGCTGCAGTTGTCCTGAGCCTGCTGAAGCATTCAGCAGGCTCAGCAATGTTGCAAACGGTCCCAGGCAGACCAAAAGCTGTCCGGGACCAGACTGGCTGTTGCTAGCCTTGCATGCATGCGCAAGGCGCGAAAACAGCTAGCTTCCTATTGGCTGACACTGTCTGAATTCAGGACTCTATAAATGGCCTGCGTGCCATTTTGCTGTTGCTGGTTGCAAGAAGAGATCAATAAAGAAGCTTGTTTGTTCACCATGTGTCTTTGCTTAATACCTCAACCTTGCAAACATAAAACTACCCAATAGTGATAGTTGCACAGTCCCTAGACTGTGGCCTACTATTGGGCTGTGGCCTATTCGCAACTGGGCCACGTGAGCTGCGGGCCAGTGTGTCTGTGCAGCTTGTGCAAGTGGGCTTGCATGCATGGGCATATACAGGTCAACTTACAATCAAGCTGTGTGTTCCAGCCCGCTACTTGTACAAGTCAAGCTGCATGCATGCAGCCCTGTTTCCCCCTCCCCCCAAGCTGCCCTATACCATTTCAGACAAATAATTGTCCAATCGGGAGGCAGGTTGTTCCACTGGTTAATTGTTCTAATTGTCAAGAAGTTTCTCCTTAGTTCTAGGTTGCTTCTCTCCTTGGTTAGTTTCCATCCGTTGCTTCTTGTCCTGCCCTCAGGCGCTTTGGAGAATAGTTTGACTCCCTCTTATTTGTGGCAGCCCCTGAGATATTGGAACACTGCTATGACGGCGATTTTAGACAATTTTAGTCGAACTGATCTCCCTCTGACCATCAGAAGCAAAAATACCAAATTACAACCCAAATGGCAAAATCCACTCGGCATGAAACCTTGTTGAGGCTGTTGTCATCTCAAAATCTGTGTAAAGTCATTTTTCTGTGTCAGGGAATGTGGTTCCCAGAAGCTCACTCAAATTACAGTGTGCCTCTGAAAGCCATAATTAAGGAATACAGATAAATGAACCTCCTCATTTAATCTGTGGGGTGATCATGAAGTAAACTCAACCGATGTTGGATGATGTAACCCTCAAGAGAGAAGACTTTTGAAAGAGATCTGTTTGTTCAGAACTTGTTGGTCCAGTTAAATCGTAAATAAAAAATGATCAGTTGACCGATCATATCTGTTGAAATGGTATAAGAGAAGGCATCGAGGTGTATGTGTCACCTATTGTTAAAAGAACTACAGGGCAATATAGACCTCACAGACCAAGAAGAAAGCAAATTAAGCTTTAAGACAATTTTCTTTGGTGAGATAGTGAAAAAAAAAATCCCATCTCTGATCTCAGGACCTTTCCACCATGGAAACGATATTGGACCAAACCCTGTGGATGTTGGTATTTTACTTTTGCATTTCAGTCACATTGTTATTCCTCAGGTGGATCCTTTACTATAATATCATCAGCATGCATCTCCCGCCAGGAATCAGCCAGGGGAGAAAACTGCGCCTTCTCTATTTGTTTGTAAGAATTGTTCTCGGACTGGTAAGTCTCTGCCTTTGGACTCTAGCTTTGCTTTCAGTTGGTTTGCCTGAATGGCACAGTCCTACATTTGGTGTACCTGAGGATCCACAAGCAAGCTCAGAGAGCACCAAGGATCCCTCCTTTCAACCCTGAGCTCCAAATATTCTCTTTTGTTAGAACTCGCTCTGGATAGCATCTAAACAAATCCTTTGTGTGTTATCCTTTGGTTTCTTTCTTGTCTTTCCCCTGTGCAGGCCAGGATTCTGGATAAACTTGGCATCTGCCATGAATTTGCGATATGGAGGATCCTTATGAATGGAATACCCTCCAGGAAACCATCTGACTTGATTGTCAAGGAAATGCTTTTTGACAGAGTGCCGGTGATGGTCTGTTGTCCCAAAAGAGCAAGTCCAGAGAACAGACGAGGACTTGTCTGGATCCACGGAGGAGCTGGCTTGTTTGGAAGCCTCCGTAGGTTTTCCAACTAATTGTTTGATTGATATGCAAGAAGGACGGACAAATGTTTGACCTAAGGCCGTGGTGGAGAAACTATGGCACAGGGAAAAATGCATGTGCTCAGATAAAAACATACAAGTTAGGGGTGGGAGAAATGGGACATTCTCATATGAAAAGCAATTCAACCAATTCTTTGTGGTATTTCAGGAGCTTACAGAAGGCTGTGCAATTTCATTGTCCGGAAAACTGACACTGTGGTCGCATGCATCGGGTAAGTGAGCTCAGGTTGACTTGTGTCACAGAAGGCAGAAAATCCAACTGCCATAACCTCTCTCTCTCTCTCTAGACAGGCTGCTAAAATAGACAGCCACAAGGAACCCACGAGGATGCCGCAGGTTACTTCAGAGTAGTTTACAGAATTACTGCTAGTCCTCGACTTACAATCACAACTGAGCCAAAAATTTCTGTTGTTTTGAGAAACAGTTGTTAAGTGAGCTTTGCCCCATTTTATGACCTATCTTGCCACAGATGTTAAGTGAATCACTGCAATTGTTATGTTAGTAACGCAGTTGTTAACTGAATCCCACTGACTTTGCTTGTCAGAAGGTCACAAAAGGGGATCACATGAGCCTGAGACACTGCAACTGTCATAAATATCAGTTGCCAGGCGCCCTAATTTTGATCATGTGACCACAAGAATGCTTCAACGGTCATGTGAAAAATGGTCCTAAGTCACTTTTTTCAGTGATATTGTAATTTTGAACAGTTATTAAATGAACTGTTGTAAGTCGAGAACTGCCTCTATTGGTTGTTGCATGCTGCCCAGTCTTTTTGGGGTGGGGCAGCTATAATATATTCATCATCGTAATAGGAATGCCAGTGCATTTGAAAGATTGTGTTTTGACTGACTGTTGCTTCAGATACCCCTTGGCGCCAGAGCACCCCTATCCAGCTCAACAACTCAGCTGCTACACTGCCGTATCACATTTTCTGAAGAATGCGCAGGACTACGGGGTGGACCCGAAACGGATCGTGCTGGCTGGTGACAGCAGCGGAGGCACACTTGTTGCCAGCACTGCTCAGCAACTTCTGATGACAAAGGACCTGCCACAGCCCCGGGCCCACATACTAATCTATCCTTTCCTACAAAGCCTGGATTTAAATTTACCTTCTTACCAGCAAAACCAGTCCATTCCCCTCTTAGTCAAGAAAGAGGCTGTTCGTCTTGGCACAATTTATCTCTTAGGAACCAGTGCTTGGGTCAATGAAATTATGGCCAATGCCCATGTCCCGCAGGAACTTATGGCAAACTATCAGAAATGGATCAGTGCGGAACATATTCCGGAGGAATTTAAAGGCCGGGGTTACGTGCCGTTTGTACCTGGTCCGTTTTCAGAAGATCTTTTCAAAAAATGCAAAACAGTTTTTGACCCCATATTTTCCCCACTCCTGGCGGAAGACGCAGTCATCCAGCAGTTTCCAGAGACTTTCCTTTTAACCTGCGAATATGACATTTTCCGGGATGATGGCTTGCTCTATAAGAAGAGGCTGGAAGACAATGGTGTCCCTGTCACCTGGCTTCACCTCAAGGATGGATTCCATGCGATCGCCTTGCTGATAGGTATGGGGTCAATAGAGTTTCCAGGTACAAGGAAGAGTATAAATAGTGTAATCCAATTCCTAGAACGATTCTAGAAATCAAACAGCCTTGTTCCTCTTCCTTGTTCATCTAGCCCTTGCCTTACAGACCTGGATCTGAAGAGGTTATACCCTATAATTTCATCCATCTGTCCTGCTTAACTGACCTGAAGATGGTCCACCAACTCTTTGAAGAGACACATCCTTGCCCTCTCCAGCTCGTTTATAGCCCACCACTCAGGTAGCCTGGTGTCAGGCTGTGCAGGAAACTGTGGTTTTCCCTCTTACTCAAAAAACAGAATTTCCCATATGACAGTCTAAGTGGCACCGAGGAACAGTTGGGAGAGTGGCCAGATGTCTAACTTTTGCGCTCTCCTTCTCCCTATAGTCAGGACAGTGGTTCTTTGGAATATCAAACTTGTGGAGAATGTTGAACGTGACAGCACAAGGAAACAACAGCCCATCACCAGCCATCAACATCCCAATGAACCAATAGGAAGGCATCACATAATTGCGACTCACAGAATAGCCCAAAGTGCATATAGGTAGTCCTTGACTAACGATAACAATTGAGTCCAAAATTTCTGTTGCTAAGTGAAACATTTGCTAAGTGAATTTGCCTCATTTTACGGCCTTTCTTGTCACAGCTGCTAAGTGAATCACTATAGTTAAGTTAGTAACACGGTTGTTAAGTGAATCTGACTTCCCCATTGACAGAAGGCAGCAAAAAGTAATTACATGACCCCAGGACACTGCAACCATCATAAATATGAGTCAGTCGCCAAGTGTCGGAATTTTGATCATGTAACTCTGGGGATACTGCAGCGGTCTTAAGTGTGAAAAACGGTTATAATCACTTTTTTCAGTGCCGCTGTAACTTTGAAGAGTCACTAAACGAAGTGTTGTAAGTCAAGGACTACCTGTATTCCAGTAAAGAGAGGTTTCCTGAGGATGGGCTCCAGCACGGGTCTGAATGCTCAGAACAGTAAACCTCTGGTCCTGGTGACCAACCCAGATTGGATCTTGCAACGTTATCCTGGGAGATGTATATGTGCCTTCATTTGTCATGGAAAACCCAGTGCAGCTCTTTCAGGAGACCATTATTCCCACAGGCAGACCCAAAAATGAACGAAAAAAGGGAATCAGCCCCCAAAAGCTCTGGAGGCCTATTGTGCTAGCCCCCCCTCACCCATTGGCATAGGTTCTGTTTCCTAACAGGACCTTGCCTTGAACCGTGCCTTCCTCTCATCTGTCTCTGAAGAGGCGTTTCTCTCCAGCAAGACTGATGCAGTAAGATCTTAAGGGACCTCTCCTTGTTGACGCTTCCATCTCGACTCTTCCTGTATCCGCTTTCCTTGTTCCCCCTTTGCTTTAGCTGCAGGTGGTCCCCGATTGCTGAGCTTCTAGAATAGTGACAACTGACTTCATGTAAACCTTTTGAGCTTCAGTAAAGACTCAAGAAATAAATCCCAGTCTGTTTCATTTCTATTTCATTTCAGATTCATTTCTGCCCACCGCAAAGGGCAAGGAGAGAAAAGGGGAAGGTGGCGCAGAGGTGTTGTAAATGGCATGGCTATGTTGACAGAATGGGGCATGTGGGTCCGTGTCTGTGTGTGTGTTGGAAGGGCACGGACTAGCAAGCCCCTTCGGTGGGCAGAAGACTGTCAGTCCCTCATGAAATGGTGTGTGTGTTTGTGTGTCCCTGTCCTCAGCTCCTCTGCGATCAGGGACTGCAGGGGAAAAAGTCAGGGAATTGCACAGCCGGTGTCCAAATGGAGGCAGAGATGCTGACACAAACATATAGTTTTATATAAATAAATATATTAATAGTAAATAAGATAATCAGGCAAACAGCAGCATATCAGGTAAATCAAGGCATCATGAGGTAAATTATAGAGGGCACATTGGAAAAAAGTCGGGAAACAAGGAGCCTCCCCCTTTTTGCTCAAGGTTACAGCTTAGATTGCCTCATGCAGTAGCCAGCCCTCTTCAACCAATCAGCTATAACTGTGTGCTCTGATTCATTGTCCAACCCTTCACTGCTCCAGCTATTAAATTAAATATCTTAACAAAGAAGAGGAAAATGTGGAGAGGAAAGATGAACCAAGCCCCAGATTCGTCCTCAACCTGAATTAGGCAAAACAGCAACTGCCTCATCGGACAAGCCAGGATAGGTCTGTGAAACTCCAGGTAGTCCTTGACTTATGAATGCAATTGAGTGCAAAATTTCTGTTGCTAAGTGAGACAGTTGTTACGTGAATTTTGCCCCATTTTACAAGCTCTCTTGCTATGTTTGTTAAGTGAATGACTGTCATTGTGGAGAGAAGGATCAAGCAGGGATCAGGTGGGGCTTGTTGCGAACAAAGAGAAGGAGTCCAGGTTATCTCTCTTAAAACAGAAGCACGTTTATTCAGCTGAACAAAGGTGGGTCCTCCCATAAGATTGGAAGAACTCCAAGTGCAGCTTGAAGCAAGTACTGTATATATAGATTTCTTATTTTTACTTGGTTGCATAAGAGGAAGCCACCACATCAGGTACAGAACTTATAAAAATACTCGTGCGTGCAAATTTCTCCTTAGTTCTGGGTTGCTTCTCTCCTTGGTTAGTTTCTGTAAATATGAACCAGTTGCCAAGCACCCAAATTTTGATCACATGACCATGGAGAGGATGCAACGGTTGTAAATAAATCCCTTTTTCAGTGCAATTGTAAATTGTAAATTTGAATGGTCACTAAATGAATGGTCGTAAGTCAAGGACACTTGCGTCCTCACATTGCTGGATGATCACTGAAATATGAGCCAGCCGTGTGCGACAGCAGCCAAAAAAGCTAATACAATCCTTATGTGTATAAACAGAGGCATAGAATCAAAATCACGTGAAGTATTAGTACCACTTTATAAAGTCTTAGTATAAGTATTAGTACCACTTTATAAGACCACACCTGGAATACTTGCATCCGGTTTTGGACACCATGTTACAAAAAAGATGTTGAGACTTTGGAAGAAGTGCAAAGAAGAACAACTAAGATGATTAAAGGCCTAGAGACTAAAAGATATGAAGAATGGTTGCAGGTTTTGGGTAGGGCTAGTCTAGAGAAAAGAAGGACTAGGGGGTGACATAATAGTAGCATTCCAATATTTGAGAGGCTGCCACAAAGAAGAGGGGGTGTCAACCTATTTACCAAGTACCTGTAGGCAGGGCAAGAAACAACAGATGGGAACTAATCACTGGGTGACATGATAGCAGTGTGTCAACATCCAGCTCAAGAATACAAATAAAGCTCCCAGGTTCATTCCGTTTCCAAAAATCTTACTGTTTATTAAGTTGATTGATTTTGCTGAAACAAAACTAATTCTGAGGTTCTAACACCAATTCATAGACTTAAACAATAATTTTCTCAGCCAAATCCCCAATGTCTTATGTAGTCCATATAAACAAGTTCATTTTGCTTTGGGAACTGTCTGTTTCAAATCCACACCTGTTCTGGTGTCCTTGAAAAGGTTTCATGGGACTTCCGGTAGGGATGCTGCGCTGATGGCAGTTTTCTTTAGGCTGCCAGCCCTGTGATTGTGTAAAAGCGCTCGGAGACAGTGAAAATCAACTGTCCTGTGGTTTGGAAATCTCCTCCTTGGGATCTCCTTTTTTCTGGGATCTCGCTTTTTACTTTCTTACTTTGTAATTGTTGATTTTACAAGAAGTGGACTTATACAGACAGGAAAATGGCTTCAAAGTGTTTGGGAATTTCTGCTGTCCCTAAAAGTTCAATTTCTTCTCCTGTAACACAGCCTGCACTGCAAACTAAACCTAAATCCCCCTCACCTTCTCCCCCACCACTGGCACTTACGCTTAAGGATATTCAAGATGCTTTGAAAAAAGTGACACAAGAGATAAAGGAGGAGGTGGCCGATCTCCTCGACAGTAAAATGAAGGAAGAGATGGCAGAGCTTCTTGAGAATAAAAATAGAGAAATGAGGGAAGACATATTGTTTGCATTTCAAGGGTTAGCTACTTATATTTAACGCTTGGATGACCGGTTGGATGAAGTTGTAGAAAATACTGAAAAATTAGAAAGCAGAGTTGTCAAAGTTGAAAATAAGATTGATATAACAGAGGATGAAGTCACCATCTCATAATATAGAGATATGGAATTTGCATTGCGAATAACAGGATTAAAAGAGAACTCATGAGAAGATCTGAAAGAGGAGGTGGCAAGAGCTATAGCTCCCATTCTGGGATGTGAACCTGAGGAATTATCAAGAGAGATGGATAAAATATTTAGGGTCAATTCATGGATTGCGAGGCAGAAAAATTTACCTAGAGATGTGGATATTTATTTTTCTAGGAGATCACTTCGAAATGAAATTATTCAGACTTTTTATAAGCAGAGATTTCAAATTGAAGATCAAAACATTATAATCTTAAAAGAAATACCTCCAAAAATTCTTAGAAAAAGAAAAGATTTTACTTTTCTGTCTGAGGAGCTTAAAAATCGACAGGTTCAGTTTAGATGGGAGATACCTGTTGGAATAGTGGTGAATTATGCAGGGACACGATATAGACTTAATACAATTTCAAAGGCAAAAGATTTCATACTTATGTCCTGAAAGCAGGTTCACCACCACCTCCACGACCTAAGAGAACAGAAGAAAGGCTGGAAGATAAACATCCAGTTGAAGGCGCAATGTCATTGGTTGTAGGAGATTTAACGCAGGCTGAACCTATTGAACAGAGTTTGGAGGTAAAGGATGATTCAAAGGAACACAGGATGACTTGTGCTGCGTATAGATGTAAAGAAAAGGAGCAGAAGCAGAAGGCTAATTTTGGATCAATAATACAAGGTCCGATTACTACAGAGCCTGTGGGAGGGACACGATTGAAGAGATCAATGGCTGATCTTCAAGTAGTGTTCCAGAGGCTCCAGGCCACTAAGAATGGCAAAGTTTCTGACATGGAATGTTAATGGCCTGAATTCACCACAGAAAAGAAAGAAAGTATTTCACTACTTGAAACAACATAAGAATGACATTGTTTGCTTGCAGGAGACTCATATTGCTGCGAAAGATCAAAAGTATTTGATTAGTTCTCAGTTGGGATTACATTTTATAGTTTCTGCCCCGGATAAAAAGGGGGGAGTAGTTATTTATATAAGAAGAGATTTATCAGCTAGATTAATTGAATCTGATACACAAGGAAGATATGTCATGATTTAGTGCTACAAGGCAAGAAATTTCTTATTATTGGATTATATGCCCCTAATCAACAACAAAAACAGTTCTACAAGTTGTTACATCATAAACTAACTCAATTGGATTATAAATCTGTTATTATGATGGGTGATTGTAATGGTGTTTTGGATTCAAGTAAAGACAAGAAGGGATTTTTCAAAACTTGCAATCATTCTAAATTACCTAAAGTTTTTTTTTTATCTGAAAGATGATTTGGAAATTAGAGACATTTGGCGAGAACGGAATATGGAGGACAGAGATTTTACTTTTTTTTCGGATAGGCATCAATCGTTCTCCAGAATTGATTTTTTTAAATTACTACTGATCTTTTCTCCAGGGTCAAGAAAGCTAAGATCTTTCCTAGAACATTGTCGGATCATAGTCCTGTAT